CATACAAATTTGACGAATTAAAGAAATGAACATTTATTAACAATATATTCATTTTTAATAATAATAAATATTAGTTATTGTCAACAATAAAATCACAATCAATATATATATATATATATATATGTAAATATAACAATTATGGACACTTTCCATATACTTTCATGATTTTATATTTTTAACTATTTTAAATCTATCTATTACAATACATAGACACTTATTGACCACATGAACAGATATCTGCTTGCTTTTTTTACAACATTTTGTACTCCACTGATAAGTATTTCTGTGGACATTATATATTAATGTAATCAATTTATCTCACAGATTTATTTATATAAATTATTTAATTAAACTAAAACTATTTCCTAAAAATTATTATCGTATAGCAGATTCCTTCTTACTTTTATCTTCTTTTTGTACAACAGATTCTGTATTCTTATTTTCAGGAATACGACTTGTATTTTTTATATTGTTAATGTGACTACTTACTATACCTTTCTGTAATTTCTGGCCCTCTATTGCTTTCATATATGCAAGGAAAGATGTCCAAACTAAACTACAAAGACTTACATAAATTACCCGGTTGTGTTCTGGTACCAAGAAGAAATTGATAGTTTGTAAAATGGGCCATACACAAACACCAACCTGAAAATATATTATTATTATAGTATTCTCCTATTATGAATTTGCTATGTATATTCAACATTTATATGATAAAAATTTTACTTTATATGTAGGCAAAAACCTCTGTTTAACTTCTTGAATACACTCTGATACAGGTTTTAGTTCTAAAAGGTTTATACCAAAGAAGAAACAACACATTGCAGCAGGACTATAGGTAACTTGTTCTACTAAAGCCTGCGAAATAAATATTTCCAATTATAAATAATGCAACTTAAGTGTGACATCAACTATTTTTTATGATTTTAATATACTTTAGTAATAGCAGATTTAATATCTGATTTTGGCCAAAAATATGAGGAACATCTTATCCAACAGTAGAGGGTTGGAGCTACAAAAAAACCACCATACAAGCTGAACCTCAAAGCTTGAATATAATTTAATTCCTCGTTTCCTGCGATTTTTTGTTGCAGCAAGCTTCCAGTAGGCCATATGACGGTATAAGATGCCATTCCCCGTACGATCGGATATTTTTGCGATACTTCGCGGAGTTTTCCATAAAAAACACGCATTTTTTATCGTCACTGAAATATAAAGTTCCGTTATTATCAATAAAATTCAATAAATACCTTAACAGATAAGATAATGCGAGAGAAAATATGAATTAATTCATTATGTAAACTTAAAAATCGAAGTTAATTTAAAATTTTAGTTAAACTTATATTCTTTAAAAATTTATTGACATTAATTTATGTATTACATCATTATTTATGTTTTCTGTTTAGAAAATTTTTTAATTACACATCGTGCTTTTTTGTAGCACGTGACAAATAACTTTGGAGTAAACGATGCAGCGCGCCAAACAAGAGAGCGCGTGCAATCGATTGTTCAGAAATAGAGAAGTTGCACTTTCTATGTATATGTACATTGATGAAGAACATTTACCCACAGCTTTGTTGCTTGACTTGTCATCGACTTGGATCTATGAAATTTTTCATACGGAATGGAATTGATAGCCTACCGATAACGTAAAGCCACTAAAATTCATGATGTAATACTTTCGCGGAATGTGTGAAACGTCTATCTTTCATTTTCTTTCGTCTCGCTCGCTGACACATTTTCTACGTGATCATACCTTCTTCTGATCAAAGGACGAAATGTCGACTACGTTACCGCGGTTTGTTCGAACGTGACGCGAGAAAACTCGCTGCACCGCGAATTTGTACGAGGTAGCAATCTCGTGAGGTTGACACATTTGGAAATGATTCGCTACTACGGAAACACGCGCATACTGACTGAGGTGAGACTTATAAACGACTCCGCTACTGACGATGACGAAACTGGTCGATCCATTCTTATCTGTCCTTGGTAATTTCGTGTCTTTCGAGTGCAGTTTTCTCTGTTAGTTTGATATATCACATAAACGACTACATATTGCTACTAATTACGTATAATCCGACTACATATATCGATAATATAGGCATCAGACGACATGTAATAAGAGAGAACAGTTTATAGCACGCATGTGACGTCAGTGAATTAAATAAGGTATAGACCGTTGTTCAGTCAATGTAGATGAAATAGGGCACGATAAGGTATATACGTTATAACACATCTGCCAATTAAAAATTCCTTTTCCTTTTTTCGTAATTATACAGCACATACAACAGCGTCGAAAAAGTGATTTTTTTATAATGTAAATTATAGATTCTTGGTCTTTTCTGCTTGTACCATATTTTCACTTCTTTGTATTTTCCTTAAATAACTACATATTCACAAACTTAAGTAAACGTCATTGAATGCAATAACGAACGTATTATATACGATATGGAAAGTATATTATAAAAAGAGTATGAGTACGTTAGTACTTATACTACATAATAAACCTTATTCATACTACGTGTGTTTACAAGTTTTGAATTCATATAATTATTAATGTAATATACACCTAGATTGGTTTGAATGATTTCAATCCAAAACTGTGTACATAAAAAATTACACAATTCAATGAAATATGTGTATTGTAAAAACAATGCTAATCTTAATTCATTATTTATGAAATTATTTCTCTTATATGCAACAATCACAAGTGAACAACTTTTTTGTCTTGCATGCATATAAAGTTAGTTTGTACGCAGTTTGTAGATTACATTACAAACATTACATTATTCAATAAAAATTCAACAAAAATCGACCATGTAAATATCTCTCTCTCTCTCTTTATTTTTGTAATTCTTTTCTATTTCCTCTACTTCTAATAATAAAAAAATACTGTATATATCCAATGATCGTTATTCACATCCATTCTTTAAAATTATATACATAGAACAGCCTTTGGAAATTGTCAACAAATTTTTTACGTGATTTTGCACATTATTGGCACTGTTCGATTTATACACCAACCAGCCATTTAAACTATACAATTTCCTCATTTGAGAAAAGCTCAACTCATTTCGCCGCAATATCAAATAAATCACAAATTCCTTCATTTTCACTAAGGTTAAAGTGATAATCCTTTTCGTTAGGTGGAGGACTTAACCTTACTAATGGTCCATAAACTGTAATCAAGAATTATAAAATTAAAAGCATATTTACAATTGGTTACATATCTATAAACTCTTACAAATTTCTTTACTTACTGTCTGAATAAAATTGATCAAACAGTTCTAAATCTTTGTGAGCAATATCTGAAATTATAATGCATAATATGAGATGATATTTTATATAATATATTTATCTTACAATAACTTATGCTATCTTACCCGATGTACTAACATCGCGAAGAACAATTTTCGCTTCTATTAATTCCGCATCTTCTTCTTCATCTTCATCTGATATAACAGGATCTGGTTTACTAGCTCCTTTTGGTGGTCTAAATTTGAGAATTGATTTATGAATGCTTATAAATTTGTATATTCAAAAATGTATTGAAAGTTATGTTGTATGATCTATACCAAAAAAATAGATTTTTTCTCAATATCTATTTTTCCCCAAGATAGATCAGTTAATCTATGCTCTTTGCAGGTCAAAAATATTATTTTTCTATTTTTGATGCGAATAGAGCAATTATTTCTTATTCTATATAATTTTATTTACCTTCCTACTCTTCTCTTTGGTTTAACATTAGTCTCTTCTTTCTTTTCTTCTTCTTCTTTCACCCTTTTAGTACCTTTTGCTTCTTCTTGTAATCTCATTTCTAATATTTTGCTATCATAGGACTTAGCTAATTCTGGTTGAATCATATACACTTTAATTTCTTCTGTATTGCTTTTTAGAAACATTTCATAATTTACTTCTTTTTCCTCTTCCTCAGATATCTAATAAATAATAAAATACTATGCAAGGTAGAAAACTTGCACAAACATATAATTTATCGAAAAGAGAAAATACCTGCGATATATTTGGTACAGTTAATTCTGTATCATCAGGTGCTTGGATTCCTAATACAAAATCATCAGGAAAATTTTCCTTCACATCTTCATAACTGATATATGCATATTTTCTATTAATTAAATCATTTTGTATATTTTTTATACTTTGTTGAATCCATTGAGTGTGCATATCTAGCAACTGTTCATGATCTTCTAGTTTTCTAATTTCATCTTTTAAATCTGTCAATTTTTCACCTACTTCTTGTGTATTGCAACCTGGACCTGCACCTCTATTAATGTATTTAAAATATTATTATTTAAGAAATGCAGCAGTCTAATTCAAGATTTATAAAAATGCATATGAAACATTTAATTAATAATGAACAATAAAAGAACATACTTCCATTGGATACTATTTTTACTTTTCTTTTCTATGAGTCCAATGCCTTCCAGCACGTTTGTAATGTCATAAATACGTCTTTTTTGCCGTACTTCTAAAATATCAGCAGCCTAAAAAATATAAGTTCATTATCACATTTCAGCTGGTAAACTATAATCGACATTGAATGTTCTATTTCCTTTTAGGTTATGTAGGATAGCACGTTGAGATATCAAAATTTATAACACATTCGTTCTAGAACAACAAATTAGGATATCCTGCAGAGTGAACATGATCTTTAAAAAGGGAGTATTTGATTATCATCAGAAATACTGATTTTAGTGTTACTTGTTTCAAAGTTCCCGCAAGCTAGAAATGGCGTGTACGCCCGCGACAACTTAACCTAGCAGGTAGGTTAACTTTTTATATCGGAACTTTCACGAAGTTACTTACTACTTTTAAGTCGAGGACACCATCCTTTGCTTTCTGCAATAAAGTAACAAAACGAGTTGTTAATAGGCCGAGGGACTTTTCAAATCGACTTTGTTGATTATCTGCCATTCTCGAGGTCGTTGTCAAAATTTTCAAAACTCACTATTCCCTTCGAAATTGCCGCAACACCACGGACGCCATCCTATCTAATACGCAGGAAGTATTTAAATATGAGCGCGTCTCTAGTGTCGATATAGCGTACTCAACGTACGCACATGCAATACACGTACTTAATTATTATTGTTTTAATTATTTAATTATTTTTTAATATCTAAATAATAAGCGTAAAAGAATAATCTTAATTTGCTAAAGACATTTTTAGTATTTATATACTGCTTTAAATAAAGTCGTTATTACATCTGATAATATTTCAAATATATATTTATTAATACAAATTTTTCAAAAGAAGTCAGATTACAATTTATTTAAAAAATTTCGAATATAAAATCTTTTGTTCTTTAATAGAAGAAATGTATAGGAATATATTATTGCTTCTAATCAGTAATAGTTGAAGTTCTATGTATAATTGCAAATGGTACATTATAAGAATTCTTTCATGTATATCAACGCTTATTTTTGTAGCAATTTTATTTAACAAAATTGGAGAAAAAATACATTTTGTATTAATATATTTAAAAAATGTAGTATTTACAGTAGTTGATAATCAACATTCGATTCCATGATACATTAGAATGTGGGTCTCAAATTATATAAAAATTATATAAGATATA